CCCGTGACTGTGATCAACCTGGAGGCGTTTCAAGAAATTCTTCCAGACATCCAGTTGAAACCTTTGGGAATAACGCTGAAGCCATACATTGGCAAGCCCATCATTCCAGAGGGAATGGTTCAAGTGGAGATGCAGTAAAACGGGCAAGTCATGCATCATAAAATTCAAGTGGTGAAGAAAGGGGGACCTCCCACACTGGGACGGGCATTGCTTCAGGATTTTCAAGTGAACTAGAAACAAGTGCACAACGTGCGCGCAGAAACCTTAACTATCGCAAGAGTGCAACAGGAACACAGTTCCATCTTAGAAGGTCCGAGAGCTGATGAACTATGCCATGAAAATCGGCGTGAATGATGATGCTCAACCAAAGCTTCTCAGACCAAGGTTAGTTCCATACGCCCTCCGACAAAAGATTACGTCTTGAGGAAAAGCACATAATCACTCCTGTGATGAGGAGTGAGTGGGCGACTCCAATTGTTCCAGTGATGAAGGCAAACGGACAAGTTTGCTGGCATATGCGGGAATTACAAGGTTACACTCAATACTGAAGATCTCTTTGTGAAGACTGGTCATGGAGAGAGAAGTTCACTAAGCTGGATTGCAGACAAGCCTACTTCCAGATCCCCTGAACAGAAGAATCAAGAGATCTCACAGTGATCAACACACATAAAGGGCTCTATCAGGTGAACAGAGTGCCATTTGGAATAACCCCCAGCATCAGCTATCTTCCAACGCATCATCGAAGAACTCATTGGGAACTTAACATACACAGGTGCATTTCAGGATGACATTGTGGTAACTTTCAAGAACGATCAACATCACATATGGCAAAAACTCAAGGGAAAGAAAAATGCTGCTTCATGCAGGACTCTATCGAGTACCTACCTAGGACATGTTGCAGACCAACAAGGAATTCACCCAAATCCCAAGAAGGTGGATGCTATCCTACAGGCGAAGACGCCCAAAGACCAAAAAGAACTCTGGGCATATCTGGGGCTCCTGAACTTCTATGGAAAGTTCATCAGCATCACATGTTCATTACACTGCATTGCTTGTCTGTTCCCAACATGCACCGCAGTACGTGATTGTTTTCGCAAACTAATGAGTGTCTGTGGACATACCATTTGCAGAACATACAGATTTACAGCCTACAAGCAGTTCGTGTGGTGGGTCTGGGGGAAGCTGGGCCGTCACCGCCGTGTCAGGCTCCCATGCTGTGTGGTCGGCAAGATCCGGGAGCGATTTCCATCTGCAACATATAGGGGATTCCAGTATTGTTGATCACTGTCCATGCCTGTACCTGATCTATTATATGCAGCATGTGCACAAACGCTCTCATCCCACTTTGAATGGTCCACAAAAATCGGTTTCTCAACGTATTGCACTTGGATTTACTACAAAGGTGCACAGAGGGAGTTAAATTATCATCAAATAAACTTGCCTTGTTCAAGTAATAAGAAAAAAGAATAACTTGTTTCGGGCAATCTATGAAGCCGTTTTGCGGGTGACCCAGGTGGATTTTATTTCTTGAAGAAGGCAAGTTTATTTGACGATATTTTAAATTCCTCCCGGCATGCACTGCTTAACTGCACCTGTGTAGTAAATCCGAGCTGGATATGTTGAGAAACCGATTTTTGCGGACCGTCCAAAGTGGGATTGAAGTGGTAGTGTACACGCTGTATAAACAAAAGAGCTAAATTGTCAACATTGTAAAAGCCGAGACTTCGGAAAAACAAAACAAAAAAGGGACAGCACAGACACATTTGAAGTTTGGGCTATTGGGTAATTTATGGTTAAAAATTAAAAAAAAAGTGCAAGGTCATTCTTGTTCATGCCTTTCCCCTGCTTTTAATTTTTAACCATGACATATGAGCTAGCCCAAACCTCAACTGTTTCTGTGCTGACTCTTTTTTGTTTCGTTTTTTCCGCAAGTCTTCAGTTTTACAATGATGAAAGTTCATCAGCTCGCTGGCATCTGCCCCATTATTTCTACAGTTAAATTATAATTGCTTACGGGACAGAATAAAGAAGTTGATTTTGAAAGGTTATAAAACATTCATTCATTTCAGAAATAAAGCAAAACTGTCAGTCAAACTTGTGTACACATATTATGCAAATTCTAGCTAGCATACAAGTTCTTTATTCATTCAATAGTAGAATACACTCAGTTAATTTGTCATCCGTAGTAAGAATACTTAATTTAAAATATTGCCAATTTCCTCACCCATGCCTAACATTGGCCCTGGCGTTGTTGAGTGTGAAACCGGGTCCTGTGGGCTAGGACTGCAGCTTCCTTGTTCGGCCTCTGGGATGCACTGCAGAGGGGCTGCCTTTGAGAGCAGGGAACATAGGCGGCCTCGGCCTCCTTGTAGGTGGGGACGGCTTCCGCCAACTCCAGGCAGCAGCTGAGAAGCTTGTGGACATAATCTACGTAAAGAATGGTGGTGATTAAACCCCAGCCATTCTATCAATAAAAATGTTTCCATTTACCGTATGACGCAGGCTCCATGATTTGTTTTACAACCCATTTGCCTTTTCTCGCCTTCGGGTATTGGAGTGCATACCGCTCCTTGCTGTCTTTTGTTTTGGCTTGTTTCCGTTCTGAATTTTCATTGTAGTGGAGGACAGCAATGGAAGTCCTGTGAAGGCAATACAGAACAGGCACGATAGTTTGCTAGTGATGGGCCAAACTTTTTCCGAATGGTGTGTAATTGTCTGCTGAGCCTTTACACACATTGGGCAGGGTTGCCGAATCTCGCACACTTTACTTTTGTAAAAACATTTTTTTCTGCTTTTTAAAACATATTTTCTTGTTTATTGCTATTCTACAGGATCATTGCATCAAAGTGATTTTCATGTGTGGAAATCGTTCAATATTGTAAAAACAATGTTTATACTGAGCCTCCACCAGAAGAGGTAACAATCAGGCACATAGCCAGGGGGTGGGGGGGCCATTTTGCCCCCCCCCCCTTGAAATTTTGCTGGGGCCTCCTCTCCTTCTCCCCCTCATACAGCATTTTTTCATGGGCGGGCCTCCCCCAAAACAAAATCCTGGCTGCGTGCCTGGTAACATTAATATAACTACGCTGGCTCTTCGATTCAAGGCCAGTTTTGCATGCACGTAGGAGTCTTATATGTTTGCAATTTTTCATTTTTACCTTTAAAAATGCTGATTTGTGTGTTTAAGACACATGCAAAAGTTTAGAAAGGTTGGGAGGATCTGGAGTTTTGGATTGTAAGGTCCAGTACAAGCTTTGTGTTTAGTTTTGTATGAATGACCGTGGAATAAAACCAAAATCTTTGCAAGGTTTTCACGTGTGTACAGATGTTTGCCGATTTTTTCTCGAAAAGTTTTCAGATTCCAAATATGGCCCATGACTATAAATATGTTCTTAGCATACTTCACAATATGCAAATATAAAGGGAAACAGTGTGGCATCAGCAAACCACGCTATTTCAGCTTACCGTGCCACCATGCCCTCTACAGTGAAGTGAGTTGACTTGGGTGTAAACCTGATGAGCAGGCTGTGGAAAGACTCCAAGCGGTACGTCTGGCCATCTCCAGAGATCCTTGGAATGTCTTTCAAAAGCTGATGCGACATCACAACTTTTTCCAGTGCGATGTATGGCTCAGATCCTGCAATTAGAAACAGCGCCACATTAATCGCTGGGGCAATGCACATAGAGCACTTCCTGGGTCATGTCTACAGTTCCTCTGTGCAAACTCAAAATTTGGCTTTCTTATTCTGTGTGTCTTCATGACATCAAAATAAGTCTGCTGGTTAAAAATAAAAATTGCTGCTATACCATAATTATGGTATTGCAAAATGGCCTAGGCAGCTCATGCATTCTGACATTACAACAGAGAGTAAAGTAAATGCGCGAAGATACACACAATTTAGTCAAAAATTTCTGGACAAAAGAAATACAGTCACACAGGATCCATATTTTCACATATATTAGATTACAAAATTATTGGTTTTCAGCATAAGTCAGCCACACGACGTTACCGCCGAATACACCTCATTCAGCAGTGCAAAAGGTGCGTAGAAGTAACAGAATCTGTTCTTTCTTTGCATATGTTATTATCAGCTAATCCAATCAAGAGCAGACAGTGTTTCATCACCCTCCACTTTGTTTATTACACTTTTTAATCTACCCAAGGTTACGCAGAAGCCACGGCCAATTGAACCACTTCCTGAAACTAGTTCCCAGCATCTGCAGTTTCCTTTTGTTTGCTAATACTAATGTTTGCTAACATTACAAATATATCAAACAGCAATTAGCATTACCTTCAAGAAGCCACCAGCGGTCCTCTATCGAGGCATGAGTGCACGCAGGGTACATCGGGTCAGGGTGCTGGTGCACGTCTACGACATGTCGCATCAACGACTTCCATTTGGCCAGCACCATTGCACCGTTGTCGTTACTGGTTTGAGCACACCAATAAACATGGGCACGAACAGTCTTCACCCAGTTATTCAGGATGCTGTTTCGCTTTGTCTTTCCTGCAGTAGCAAGCTTGCTCCCAATTCCTAGAAATTAGAAAATGTACATGCATGGCAAGCTGAGGTATAGCACTTTGGCATGTGAGTATGAGCATCGACGACCAAGTAAAGTGGACACAGTCAGAGTATGGCAAGTTTGTAAACATGAGTTAGTGTATTTGCGACTCCAACTAATTATAGGTAGCGCCACTCATTTTCCAAAATAGCGGTTATAGCGAGGGTCGGAGATGCGTGTTGCAATTGAGCCTCCCTAGCAAAAATTCTAATAGAAATTTCTAATAGCCTATCAGTTTATTGACACTTTGTATTAGTCTATTAGCTCTATTAGTTGTATTAGCCTATTAGTTGTATTAGTCTATTAGTAGTATTAGTCTATTAGTTATATTAGCCTATTAGTTGTATTGGTCTAGCCTATTAGTTTTAGTTATATCGGCATGCTATTTACCTACTGCATTACGTGGCTTGCTAAATGAGAGTACACGGTGTAGCTTGTTTAAGATAATACAATTTATTCTCCCATTCATACAAATCTCACATTCACGCAAACCTCTCAATTTAAATCAGCAATCTTCCTAGCCAGAAGCTTGTTCATCCCTGCCTTGCAAACCTTGCGTGTTGTCTCGTCGGTGCAGGTTGTGTCCACATAGTGCCCAAAGAAGCCTGAAAGAGATAATGAATTTGCAGTTGAAAGTGACAGTATCCATAAGATAATTTGTATGAGCACCAAAACGCTATCACAAGGTGGTCCAAGCCAGAGGGACACAAACTGTTTGGGCCTCCGACCACTAAAAACAATTTAGCAGCATCCGGTAACCCTCTTTCGAACCATTTCTGGGCTAGATTTGGAAGCTCTCGCAGGCCCCGCAACCTCCACTTCATGCACCTGAGTAAGGAGTTCTGGCAAAACAACCCGAGAAGCAGCTCGCATTGGGATCACTCGACGAAAGAAACCACCGCTCGATTGGCTGACAAACGCCGTTTGGCAACGGTTCGAGTTCTGTGATATATCGCAGAAAAACTGATTATCACATTTTAGTACGAAAATCGGTATCGCAGGATTATAATGTTTAGGTTCTTGGGATGCACGACGCATGACCAAGAGTGGACTATCTCAGAAACCTCTTTGGTGCCCCTTTAAGGGAAACTCGCAGCGCTAAACTGTTTAGACTATTTGCAAATAATTATAACTTTAAAAAAAAATACTATTCAATTAAGATTACAAATTGAGAGCAATATTGAATCTATTCTCAGAAATTTTAATTTTTGAGCATCCCTACTCGATATCAACTAATTATATTTTAGACTGAAATAGGTAGAATTGGGCCTCCGACCACTTGTAGTTCAAAGCAAATGTTTGTATGAATTCTTTTCAGTTCCTTTACCATGGTACACTATTTACAGCTTGACAAAGATTTACAGAGGAAACTGCTACGGCAGGTAGTTAAGAAACCTGATACATAAAATTTTCGGGAACAGCATGCACATTTCGAAAGAAATACCTCCGGACCATCATCCCTAAGAGGTCTTTCATACGTTTTTGCCATTCTTTTTGTACCAAATCTACAGCAACCTCACAGAACCGCTGAGAAAAAAAAGCAGGTCGTAACTGCGAACGGAACAGGCACTCTAGATACTACAAATGCACCGCACACTAAGATAAGAGGTATATATATAGACTAAATTTCATGCTTTGATACTTACCACGCATCTTCATGATTTGGGATCGAAAATAGCCAGTTGATTGGTGTCCTTCCACCACACGTCGTACCAACGGTTGGCGTTGAAGTCCGTAAGTCCAACTGTGCTCAAATTCTTTATATCGCTACACGGAATAACGACGTTCGCGTCGCCGTCCTAAAACCAGACGTAAACATGCATGTTTCCGCACAAGTAGACAGGATAAGATTTTTCCGACACACGTGTTACTTTGCATTTGGGGGGATTCGGGGGATTAAGGACTGCTGTCAATTTGAAGTTTTGAAGGATGTGCAGTATGCTGCCGCTGCGGCGCCACCAGTGCGACAACTACCGTCACGTGAAAATTGACGTGTTGGTACGAAATAATCTTAAAATACAATTTGCATTATAATACTTATGAACAAATTTTGCTAATGTTTCAAATGCCGCCCTGCAGCCTCCAATTAACTCGCAGCCGCAAGAACGAATGCCAGCAGTGCAAAGGTGACAGGGATAATAGCAATGAAATCCATTCTGGTAGCCACTTCTATCCATAGCCATAGCCATAGATCTTCCAACAAGGAAAAATGGCGGACAATTCGGGCGGTTCCGTGGCGGTTGGCTCCTCGGATGTTTCAGGTCTTTCTCGTTCACACCAAAATGCCCGCGTATGCAAACGAAAAAAGTACCTGGAGCCTGGCGCCGAATACCGAGAACAACAGAGCTACAGCGCAGGAAAAGAGCAAGCGCTGCCGTGCCGCAGGCAAGCGCAGCGGCAGTATACCGATATCGCAAGAATGCGACGGCGAATCCTGCGTTCACGGAGCCTACAGCCACAGAGCCTACACATCTTTTTCCTTGTAATTTTTTTTCCTCTCTCTGCTGTTATTGGGCACAACTAAGTTCCAATTTCGAACTTGCCGGTTATTTCTGGAACTCGTGGTTCTCGAAATTAATCAAATCTTCCAGACTTTCCCCATGACACATATTCAAAACTTTTATAGAGCCATAAATGCTCCAGGTAGTGACGTTTTTAACCCATCTTGTATAGCGTTCAAGTGTTTCCTTAATTATCACTAGAATTTTCGTACCCCATTTTTCTATATGTATATTGAACTCCATTACAAAGGCAAAAGCTGTTCATGAGCACGAACAATAAATGGATAGATGAATGAATGAATGGTCCATCTTCGTTTTTTTTAGTTGTAGATCCAATGAAGACAATTTGTTGTGAACATTCACTCCTGTTTGATAAAAAAAATTACAAAGCAGAAACCTCTGTTTGCCAGCAAAGTATCGGCGGGGACGAGCTCACAATTAAGGGTTTCCACATTTAATAAATCTCAGTTATTCGTTCATACTTATTTGGTGGTGTCGAGTTTCAATTGTTCTAATATGCCCATTTAATATTGTAATAGAATACCTGTGCTACAAGTAGTCTAATGAGCATTCCATTTGTTTATTAGAATGTGTAAATTTGTCTAATTATTATTCTATAAGACTAACAGAATGATTGTATTAGTCTATGAAACTTTGTATTATTCTAATAGAAGGCATACATTAACCTAATAAATATTTCTATTAGACAAATACAGTTTTGTATTAGTCTAATACACATCTCTACTTATGTGATAAAGATGTATATTAGTCTCATAGAGATTCCTATTGGTCTCATACAAGTTGCTATTAGCCTTATAGGGATTCCTATTAGTCTCATAGGAGATGTTATTAGTCTCATAGGCATTGCTATTAGTCTTATAGGAGTTCCTATTAGTCTCATAGAAATGTCTATTAGTCTCATAGATATTCCTATTAGAATTTTTGCTAGGGCTGTCTAGTGTGCTGGCTTCACTGAGCGACACAAATTATTTCTGGTAATACGAGGAAGCTAGGGCGTTATGGGCGCAGGTCACCTCTTTACCCTGAAAACAAGAACGGTGTTTAGCATAATATTTACGCAAGGATGCGTGTTTTAATTCTGGAGCGAAACCGAAACTAATTTCTACTTTAGATTTCATTTCTCAGTATAGGTTTTATTTTCGGATTCTTTCATACCTCAAGATGTGTCTCACATAGTAATTATCTAGTTAAAGAAGTTCGCCGAAACTTTATTTTGTGTTTGTTTCAATGTTTCAATCCAGGCTGATATTTTAGTTGTTGAAAAAATCCCTGCTGATATTTGTGCGTTCTCGCTGCCTTTTCCTGCTCAGATAAATGCCATGGGAAATAATGAACTGCGGGCCTTTTAAAGAGCTGTTAGGTATTTAGATGATTAATTGGTTTAACATTATTCTCAGCACAAGAATAAAAGAACAATTCCAATTTTCGTTCGACTGATGTAGAAAGAGGGTAACAAAATCATTACACAAGCAATGCAATGACCAAAGAATAGTTCTAATACTGTGAGATTCTTTGGCTAGGTGCTCAGCATTTTGTGAAGCCTGAAAAGTGAAGTGCAAGGTAGCGTGGCTTTGAAGCTCAATGCTGATTGGTATGGGGGGGAGGTCACATGACCAGAAGGGGTAGGCGACGCGTGAAGTAGGCAAGAAGGTGCTCAGCCGCCTGTGCGCACTGACGGAGGGGAGCTCGCGAATATGGAAGGCTCTGGAAGATCGCCAGGTTTATCATTACCAATATCGCTTCATTCTAGGAACAACTATGAAGTGTACACATGGTACACATTAAACTTCTGGTGAAGGGTGCTGTGCATGAATGCACGAACGACACCTTCTGGCGTCTTGCGCATTCATGATTACAAACAGAACTCGTGGTGACCTGCGACCCAACCAGGATAGATAACTGGGCGAGTTGGTGAGAGTTTGTGTTGAAAAAACAGCGCTTTGTCTTGTGTTCTCTTCGTCGTTGTGTCCTCGTCTTAGTCGCGCTATTTTTTCAACATGGACCCAACCAGCCCCCTGTGCAAAGGGAGAAGAGTCCACTCAGAAATGCTTCGCATTTAAAATGTATGGCAAATTGCTAGGAAATTGTGTTTCCTACTTGAAAAAGCAGAGTATTGCAGAACATTTCACGTACGCAACACGATTGGCTAGTACTTTTCCAAAAAATTTTTTAACCAGTATTTACCTGGACAACCTCATAGTGCAGGGTCTTGTTGATGTTGGTTTCTAGCAAGCTATAGGTCCCATATTTGGCAGAATAGCCGGGTGAGTCTGCACGGCCGTCACCGGCCAAGTGAAGGCCAGTGCCACAGATTGATGTCAGGAGGACAGTTTGCTCCGTTTTCCAGACCTTTGAAATTAAAAAAAAATCACAAACGTCAATCTTCACTACAAAGAATGACCTTTGAGCAAGCAATTTCGTAAGCTGCAGGTGTGATCACCTTTGTTGCAGCTGGGAAGACCAGACAGCGTTGGACCTTGAAGAACTGAGTCTTGTGTATCAATCACAGCGACACCTATTGACCCCAGAAGGCGCAGAACACGTGTAGGGCTGGCGCCAGAGTATGTTATAGCGGCCGGCAAGATGATGTTCATCAGCGCCTTGCCGTTAATCGTTGGCTGATTTTCCCACACGTCGTATGGCCTCTAACACATGTAGTTACGGCGTGAAGCAGGGTCCCCCGTTGCTTCAGTTTCGTCTCTGTTGGGGCCAGGCACCCCTTACAGATCGAAAACAACTCTAGGAGCTTCGACGTACAGACCAGATATTTTTTTTCCATCAGAGGGTCAGCCGCCTCAGCAGAGACGTTGCACCCCCTGCGAAACAAAACAAGCAGTACAGTTACAACCCTTCCAATTTCAGAGTATGTTGTTTTTATCCCCTCTATATTTTTTCCTGTCTTGTTATTTCATTATTTTAGTCACACTTGAAAATAACAAAAAAATACCTAGCTAGATCCTAGTCATAGTATAAAATTATGGTTTCTCAGAAGATAGAAAACACATACTCGTGAGGTCTTCCATCATCCGAGGTCACGGAGTCATCACTGGTGTCAGAAGAATCTGCCCCATAACTGCTGTTGACGGAATCGTTGGGTCTGTAGCTTGTGTCTGGCTCGGTAGACGTCTCCTCTGACTCATTGAAGTTGCTGGACTCGTCGCCGGTGTCCAAAGGGTCAGCCTCGGGTCCCAGAAGCTCAGTTGTGAGATTGAATTCCAAAGGAGTTGGGATTATGCCACATGGAGGCGAGGAACACCACGGGCGTGACTGCCCGCCACCCTCTGGGGAGGTTCCTTGATGTCCAGGGATATCAGCTTCGTCTCCCGGAGAGCTTTGGCTTGTGACTAGCGAAACAAACTAATATTCAGGACCAACATTTCGGCGTACTAAATCTTCAACAAAAGTGTATTGCACACAAAACTCATTTATGGTTACTTCTTTATAACAGTAAGTCTATATAAAGTCACTACATCCACCTACCTGGCAACGTGGTTGACGCCTGAATCTCGACTGAGGTTTCAAAAGGGATTTCGGTCTGCACACCTCTGCTGGCAGACCAAAAGTTTGATGTCTGTTTACCTGGCACATCAAAAACAATATTTAGGATACAGACTAAAAATGGTTCCTACGCAGGTACCTTTTGATAGCACACTTGCATGTGTCTGGCTCCATGCGCTGCATCTAGGTGGTCGGCTCACAAATACACATGTAAATACACTGGAGTGTGCACCAACTTGATCTGGAAGGTGGTCAACAGATTCACTGTGTGATGCTTGGCAATCTCTCTTGTCCAGTTCAGAGTCGTCCTCGGGTGAAGCATCATGCGACAAACTGTTGCACGCTGGGGCTGCGCTGCTGTGTTCTGGTGCAGGGGCAGTGGCTTGGTCCCTGTTCTGCAAGAGTGTTACATGAAGTGATAGCATCTGAAGACATTCTAACATGCAGCAAAGTAGACAAAAAGTAGGTAATTGTTGAATTACCCGAGATTGCAGTGAAGACAGAAAAAAGACAAGTCTCAGGTTATTCAACAATGATAAACTTACCACCAGCTCCCTTGCCCCCTTACATTTTGTTTGTCAAGAGTACATACTTTGCTAGATCATTCTGCACTTACTTGATTCCCTTGGATGTCAACAGGCCCCCTGAGTGGCATCTTTTGAGCTCCCGTGGCTTCCTCGGAGTTGTCACCGGGCGAAGCATCCGAAGACAAACTGTCAAACGCTGGGACTGTGCTGCTGTGTTCTGGTGCAGCGGCAGTGGCTTGGTTCCTGTTCTGCAAGAGTGATGCATGAAGTGATAGCATTGTGATGACTGCGATTAGGGGGTGCACATACACCGTCGATTGGACCCGTTGTCGAAGAGAGACAGTACCCAGCTCTAGGTCAAGAACATGTGGTTTTATCTAAACTCAGGTTGGGTCCGCAACACAGATTCGACAACCACA